TAGCAGAGCACTTGGCCTCCAGCCAGCTTCCCGTAAATGTCAGCAGTGCACTGATGAGGACCCCGGGCCCGCCTTGGCACCCAGACGCCATCGCCTTCCAACAGCACGGGGTCCTAACCTGGACGCCCCCAGGAGCAGCAGCCCGACCACCTGTCTTCCTCTGGGGAAGGACAGTCTCTGACCTTGACCTGCCCCACGACTTGGGGCAACATGCTGCCTCCTTGTCTGACTTCTCAAGACCCTCCAGTCTCTGGGCTGCCATCCAGCGCAACCTGGACTTGCCAGCCCAGGGTTGTCCCTGAAGCCACTACACTGGGACTCCCCATCATTGTAGCTATGTTTTATTTCAATGGTAACAGCAGTAAGTGAGAAAATACCTAAATAAAGTACATTGGTTTTGTTAACCTTCACAATGAAAACTGCCAGTTATTTCACCAGGAACAGATGGGCTTATTCAAGAGTAAGAGAATTTCAATCCCAGACAATCAAGCTGGGCAAAACCCTAAGCAAGTCTGGGAACGAGGAGAAACGGGGTGACTCGGGAGGGGCTGTTATGAGCCCAAAGTGCGTGCGACAGAGGAAGCTGGGAGTGGGAAGTGAGCTGTGGCCCTGGGACGAGGGACGTGTCTCTCCCTCCTGCACATGTCCCAGCCTCGGGCATGGTCCAGTCCAGGTGAGGGCCCTGCGGGCTCTTCCTGTCGGGTCAGTGACGGGCCCAGGGGAAGGCCGTGAGCGCCCCCTGCCGGAGCCCCCCTCCATCTCTGGGGGGTTTCCCCCGTACAGACCTGCAGTCACGTTCACTCCAGAACGTGGTGAGGTTATAGGCTGCTGTGCTACAAGCAGAATAAACTGTGGTGGGAAGAGTAGACAATTTTGTCAAGTTGGGATGGAGTTCGAGTCACAAACGTCTCTCTTCTCAGAGGCCCTGGGGCCCCTTGGCTCCTCACTACGGGCAACTACAGAGCCAGGCTGGTTGGCCAAACGAACCCAGAGAATTCCGGTGAATGACACGCCTCTACTCCATTGTTCTCAGGCCAGATTCCCGTAGCGAGGGGAGTCGGGGGCTGTCCTCCACCCTCTGGCCCTGACTCACCCCCCTGGATCCTGACCCCCAGTCTCTTGCTGATCCAGATTTGTATGTGTTTGTATGAACACCCAGGGTGCTGGGTTTAGGAAGTGGGCCTTGAGACACAGTTAGGTCACGAGGGTGGAGGCCTCCCGGATGGGATCAGGGCCCTTGTGAAAGAGGTGCCGTGTCTCACCCCTTCTACCCTGTTGGGGACACAGCAGGACGTGTGCAGCTCTCCCCAGCACAGAACCTGCAGTCCCGGCCTCCTGAACGGTGAGAAGTAAATCTCTGTGGTTTATAAGCCACCAGTACTGGTGTTCATTATAGCCACCCAAACGGGCCAAGACACCATCCAATCAGCAGCCCACCTTCTCCTCCAAAGGCAGTAAAGCATGTCTGTGTTATACAACCTCCCACGCCCTTGGCGAGCCGCAGCCCCTAAGACTAGCACATCCATTCCTGTCAGAAATGAAATCCTGGGGCCCTGATACATCTTTGCAGATCAGGGATGGTTGGCCATGGAGCCCACCAGCAGAGTCCAGAGCTGAGCCCAGGTCAGAGCACACTCAGGGGGGAAGGGTGAATGGTGCCTCCCCTCCTATTCATGTCCACCTGGAGCCTCAGGATGTGACCTTATTCGGAATAAGGGTCTTTGCAGATGTCATTAAGATAGGAAATTTCAAGGAGTGCCTGGGTGGCTCAGTTGGTGAAGTGTCTGCCTTCGGCTCAGGTCATGCTCTCAGGGTCCTGGGTTCCAGCCCTGCCTCCAGCTCCCTGATCGGTGGGGAGTCTGCTTCTCCCTCTGCCCCTGCTGCTTCCCTGCTTGTGCTCTCTCACTCCCTCTCTCCTTCTCTCTCTCAAATAAGTAAGTAAAATATTAAAAAATTAAAAAAAAAAAAGAAAGATAAGAAATTTCAAGATGAAGTCATCCTGGATTAGGGTGGTCCTTAAACCCAATGACTGGGACCTTCCTAAGAAAAGAGGAAGGGAGGGGGTGAGGCAGCCACCAGCCTAGGCCCACCAGGAGCCCCTGGAAGCTGGAAGAGGCAGGAAGGGTCCTCCCTGGAGCCTCCAGAGGAAGCATGGCCCTGCTCACCCCTAGATCTTAGAACTCCGGCCTCCAGAATTGGGAGAGAATGAATTCCTGTTGTGTGAAGCGACTCGATTTGTTGAGGACCTGAGAACGCCAGGTGCTACGGGTAAACTGTGTCTCCCCCACATCCCTCAAATTCCTACACTGCAGCCCTAACCCCCCGTGGAACTGTATTTGGAGACAGGGCTTTTGGGAAGTCATATGGTTAAATGGGGTCATAAGGGTAGAGTCTCGATTCCATGGGATTAGCAGCAGATGGCAAGGCAGAGATCTCCTCTCACTGTCGCGCTCTCTGCAGATCACGATCAGGCCCTATGAACCCGGAGAGGAAGCCTCGGGACGAAGTCTCCCTGCCTGCAGCTTGAGAAGTGTCTGTCATTCAAGCTTCCGCTGTGGTGTTTCATGAGGGCCCGAGCTGACGGAGGCAGCGGGAAGCCCACGCCCACGGAGTGTGGAGGGAAGCTCAGGAAGGCCCAGGGCCAGCAACATCAGCATCGGACCGCGTGCCCTCCGGAACGCTGCGGGCAAGCAGCCTGAAAAGACAGGAACCCAAAGCTGGGGGGAGGCAGAGCAGGCAGGGCAGAGGCCTGGCCCCACAGGCCAAGCGCAGGTGCAAAGTGCACCAAAGTGAATTTTTGAGAAGCTGGTCCACAGGGAGGATTTGTGAAGGTCACCCCCAGGGACCTCTCTGAGCTGGAAATGGAAACAGGAAACAGGATTCATCTTGGAAAAATGCAAACTCACATATCTAGGCAAAACTAATCCATACCACAGGCGGTAGGACTGCAGCCCGCAGGGCGGCCGGGAGGGCCCAGGCAAGGGCCATTGGTGTAGCCTCTCTCTTTGAGGGGTGGTCTCAGCATGGGGAGACGCCCTGAGGCTGGGGACTTAGGCGTCTGGAAACCCCAAGGCAGGCTTAGTGGGAGCAGAGGGCTCAGGCTTCTACTTCTCAGTGGGCCAGAGGGCAACCTAATGGTCCAGGGAGGGGTGGGCAGACAGAGCACCCCACCCAGCAGTGCTGAGGCTTTGCTCACCGGGCCCAGGCCTCCACTCAGCGGCACGGGCTCCCCCCCCCGCCCAGAACCCGCCTGGGCCTGCAGAAAGCCTCATGCTCCTCAGTTTTGCAAGGTGCCCAGCGTTTGTAAATGTAAACGTGTAAATGTGATGGGTCGCTAGAATTTGCCTCTGCCCCCAGGAAGGCACCCAGGTGCCCTGGCCAGAGACAGAGGACATTATGAGGGAAGCAAATGGTTTCAGGGGAGAAATGGCTGCCCCCTGAGGAGAGGCAGGACCCACAGGTGGGAAACAAGGCTCTGATCCCTTCTATAGCCCCTGGGAGCGCCTCCTTCCCCACTGGCCAGAGAAACAGGCACAGGAAAAGGAAAAGGAGAAAGGAGCTGACGCCCAGGCCACCTGGCTGGGGAGCGTGTGTCTTGTGTGCCAGGAGGGCAGGCCGGTGTTGGAGAGGGAAGAGGCCTGCCTGAGGCACCTTCCTCCCTCAGCCCTGTGCCCACCAGCTGGGACAGGAGGCCTCCAGGGAAAGAAGAGGAAGGACAGGGGTGGGAACAGGGTTGCCTGTGGCCTGTCGCACCTGTTCATCTGAGCATGGGCCAAACCAGCTGCGGCAGAAGGAATCCAACATGTAGTGCCTGGAGATGAGAGGGACACTCCATACCGTCAGGATGTCTACTTTCCCAAACTGATCTACCCAATCAAAACAGTCCCGGTGTTGGAAAAGGTTTGGCTGGTGTGATTTTTGTTTTCATTGTGTTGGATACAGTTACCAAGTCAGCTTCCAGAAGTCCTTCCTACAAATTGCCAGCTCCCCCACGCCGACAGGTGCACCGGTCAGACAATATGGTTCGAGTTTCGAGTAGGGTTCTTCTGCGAAATTCCTACCGTGCTCTTGCCAATTTTTCCATTAGATCATCGTCTTTTTCTTATTTATTTGTGGACAGTTTCGCATTTACAGGAATTAGACAACTCCCATATACACGACACACACTTTCCCCCCAACCGGCCTTTTAATTAATTCTTATCGCATTCTCAATTTCAGTACGGTCAAGTTTACTATTCTTTTCTCCCCCTTCTCCAGGTTTATTGTGATAGACATTAGTCGACTTTCCAGGACCTTTTTTGTTTGCTTTTTAGATTTGGACGTTTCATGCATCTGGATTTCATTTTGGTGTTAAGGAGTGACGGAGGAAGCCAACTTCTATTTTTCCAAACGGCCGGCCAAGGGTACCAAGGCCGGGGGCGGAAACACCTTACTGGGGTCAGAAACCCCTCCACCCGCACGTTCCGACCTCGCGCCCCGCAGCGCCCCGCAGCGCCCCGCCCCGCGCGTCCAGCCCCCGCCGCGCTCTCCACCCCACCCTGTACGCCTCCCAACGCCCCGCTCTCCCCGTCCCCACGCTCTCCTGCTCCCAGAGCCCTAACCCTAACCCTACCCGCCCCCGCCGCGCATCCCGCCCCCGCCGCTCCCCGCCGGCCTCTCCCGCCGGGCCTCTACTCACAGCGCGTCCCCTCGCCCCGCTCCGCCCCAGCGCTCTGCGGCCTCCATCACTCCACTTCACCCCAGCGCTCCGCGGCCCCGCCCCCGCCCCGCCCCGCCCCGCCCCGCCCCGCCCCGCCCAGCGCTCCGCGGCCCCGCCCCCGCGCTCGCCAAAGGCTCGCTGGCCCCACCTCCGCCCCGCCCCGCCCCGCTCCGCTCTGCCCGGGCCCGCCCCCCGCGCCCGCGCTCTCCAGGTCGCTCGGCGGTTATTTGCATAAAAGGCGTGGCCTCTGGTGCTATTTGCATGGAGACCCGGCAGCCGGCGCGAACGCTTGTCTCTGGGGACTGAGGCGCCCCGAGCCGTCGGGAGTGTGCGGGGCGCGGCCTGCTCGCTGGGTCCGCCGCGTGCCTCGTCCCCCGCCAGCCCGCCTCGGGCACCTGTCTTCCGGCCTCCGCGCGCCTCTTCCCGGCGGCGTCCCGCGCGGAGCCAGGATGCTACCGCGGCGGCGGCGAGCGCGGACCGGCTCCCCCGGCGGCCCGGCCCGCCCCGGCCCCGCCTGCCCCTGCCCGCCGCGCTTCCCCGGCATCGCCATCCACCTGGCCGAGCCGCGCATGGGCCGCAGCCGCCGCGCCTTCCTCACGCGCCTGGCGCTCTCTAAGGGCTTCCGGGTCCTGGACGCCTACAGGTGCGCCGTCGCGGAGAAGCCTGCGGCCCGGGGCAGCCCTGGGGCGCCTGCCCGCGGCGCCTTCGTGGTGGGGGGGGGCGCCTGCCCGCGGCGCCTTCGTGGTGGGGGGGGGGGCGCCTGCCCGCGGCGCCTTCGTGATGGGGGGGGGCGCCTGCCCGCGGCGCCTTCGTGGTGGGGGGGGCGCCTGCCCGCGGCGCCTTCGTGGGGGGGGGGGGGGCGCCTGCACCAGGGGCGCGGGGCGGGTGCTGCGCCCTCAGGGCACCGAGGGACGCCTGTGCGCGTATGGCCGGGCCAGTACGGCCCGCGGACGCTGCTGCGTGGTGGGAGCCCTCATGTCGGTGCTCAGACTTCGCCGGGGACCAGCCACTTTCGCGCGCCGCGTTTCTTTTCAGCGGAGGACGTTAAGGTCTAAACCGACTCACCTGGCAGTGGAGGGGCCCGCGGTTTCGGATTCCAGTTGACCGCGCCTCTTGGTGCTCTCCTGGCTTTCCCCGAATATCCTCTTCCGCAGCGGGTGCTCGCGGTTAGGGCCAGGAGTGCTCTGTGGGACAAGCAGAGGGTGTGTGCCCGGGGCTCTGGAAGGAGCCAGAGGGCCGTTTGGGATGGTTGAGGGTATCACCGGCTCACGGCCTTCTGCCCTGGGCGAGTGCGTCTTGCCCTGTTAGCCAGACCGACCTCGCCCCTCCAGCAGAGACAGCCACGCGAGGCTCCGAGATCGGCAAAAATCCTGGGCTGGGTGCGGAGACACTGCTGCGATTAAGGAAATGGGTTCCCGAAGGTTTGAAGTTGACAGAGCAAGCAAACCAGGGGCCAGTCCCCCAGCAGCTTTTGTTCTGGTTTGTTTTGAAGTGATTTGACCTTTCCCAGTGGTTAGACCTGCTCGGAGGAGTTTAGTGTGCGGGTTGCTAAGCCTCTAAGCCCTTTGGCTTATGAGTTTGTTTAATCTTTGTAATAACCCTACGCGGTAGTCACGTTGTTAACGGCTTTAAAGAGGAGGAAATCAGGGCACAGAGAAGTGAGATGCAGCGTGTGTGGCAGAGCTGGGGTTCAGACCCAAGGAGCCTGGGTTCAGCAGATGGAGAGGCTCAGGGCCTGGCCTCCGTTCTCAGGGGCCCAGGGAGAGGACAGACAAGTGGACAGAAACTTGGGCTGGGCTGCAGCTCTGTGGGTGGTGGGGTGGCAGACACGTTCACCGGCGAGAAGGGGCTTTCTGAGGAGGTTGCTGGAAGCGGGAACGGGTGCTCACCAGGCGGAGGAGACTGTGAGCCAAGGCGGAGCGAGGCAGGAAGGACCTCTGGGCATCAGCTCTGTCCCCTCTCTCTGCCCAGCTCCGAGGTGACGCATGTGGTAATGGAACAGACCTCCGCAGAGGAGGCCAGGTGCTGGCAGGAGCGCAGCGCGGCGGCGGCCTCTCCTCCAGAGTGCACCCGCCCGGAGCTGCTGGACATCAGCTGGTTCACAGAAAGCATGGCGGCTGGGCGGCCTGTGCCCGTGGAGCGTCGGCACCGTCTGGAGGTGAGCTGGGTGGCCTGGCATGGGGCCGACAAATGCGGGGGACAGTGGGGCTCAGTGCAGACCACCAGGGGCCCTGGGAGGCCAGGCCTTCCCAGCTCAGGCTCTCATCATTGCTGTGAGCTCTTGGGGTCTAGTTATTTTGAGCATCTTCAGGCCTTTCTTGCTCAAGTATTGAGATGGTCAGTCCCAGTCAGATGACCCGAGGACCCCCAGGTGGGTCTGTGGCGGCTGCCCTGTGCAGTGCTTCCTGGGGGATGCAGGTGTGTGTAGGCTCAGAGTCGGGCGTCCCAAGTTCAGACCCGGGCTCTGCCTGCGGGCCACGAGCTGCCGTCCCTGTCTGTGAGGGGGACGACGAGCACTGCTAGCCCACTTGACCGAGAGGGCTTCAGGAGGTGGAGCACTCACCAGGTGCAGTGACAGGAAGTGTAGCCCCTGAGAGCCTGCAGGGGCCATGCCTGCCGCTGCGGTGGGCGAGGAGCCCCTCCTCGGCCTACTCTGCTCCTCCTGTCCTTGTCGGGGTGGGGCTCCAGGGCTTGCCTGGCCCTGGGAGCCCTCAGTCTCTGCATGGCCTCTGTATTGCCCATCCGCAGGCGGCTGTGCCCGCAAAAGGGCCACCCGGCCCCGTGAGGGTGCCACCCTACGCCTGCCAGCGCCCCACGCCGCTCACACACCCCAACACCAGCCTCTCGGTGAGCCCTGGGTTCCCAGCCTCCCTGGGGTGGGGCCAGCCCTGCTCCCGGGAGCCCTGCTACTGTGCCCTGTCCCAGCTTGGGGACAGGTGGAGGATGGGGAGCCGGGCTTCCTCCCCCCTCACCAAGGGCCTCTCCCGGCAGGAGGCTCTGGAGGTGCTCGCAGAGGCCGCAGGCTTTGAGGGCAGTGAGGGCCGCTTCCTCTCCTTCCGCAGAGCTGCCGCGGTGCTCAAGGCCCTTCCGAGCCAGGTCATGGCCCCGAGCCAGCTGCAGGGGCTGCCCCACTTTGGAGAACACTCCTGCAGGGTCGTCCAGGTGGGTGCTCCGCACACTCAGCCTGGTGGAGTCGGGAGTGCGGGCAGGTGGGTGAGGTGGTCTGGAGACTGTGAGCGCGGGGGTCGGGGGCTCAGGGCAGCCGTGCAGGCCAGCTTCTGGTCCCAGGCAAGCCGCCCTCTGCTCAGGTTCCTCGTCTGTAAATGGGGCCACACCGTGGGGCTGGGAGGGACCGGGCAGGGCTGGTAGCTGGCATCGCCGGTGGCGGCCCGCTGTCTGGGATGGTGGAGGGGAGCCCTTGACTTGGAGCACTTCCTTTTAACATACAGAGTATGTAAGAACCCAAAATGTTAGGTCCTTTGCGTGTCCTCTGAAGTGGGCCATCTAAGGGGTACACTTGCCCCTGGGAGAACATGTGGGGACCAGACGTACTTTTGAACTCAGTTAAGCTTTTATGCAAAATCCTGTTGAATATGTCCCCCGTGTTTGGAAAAGCCGTGGTTTACGTATCTTGGGACCTGTCATTCATCTGAGAGGTGGCCCGTGTTCCCTGGGCCGAGAGCCATGAAGCCAGGAGCACTGATGCCTCCCCAGGCGTGGTCTGTATTTCTAAGTGGGTCCTGATCGGATGAAGCTGCCTTGCTGAGTGTTGGGGTTCCGCCTGGGCCTTGTGCCCCGCCCTTGTCTCCAGTCAGGCTGAGCCTTTTGCTTGGTCCCCCAGGAGCTGCTGGAACATGGGGTGTGTGAGGAGGTGGAGAGGGTCCGGCGGTCAGAGCGGTACCAGACCATGAAGGTACATGCAGGGCGGACCCCAGCAGGGGCTTGGAGCCCTCCCCGGGAGCACAGCACGGCTCCATCTGTGGACGGGAGGCGAGCAGGGCGCCCAGGGCTCGGAAGAGGTGTTACGGAGGCGGCGGCAGCTGGCTGACACCCGATGTGCGAGAGGCAGCCAGGCCGAGCGGGGTGAGGGCAAGCTCGTGCTGAGCGCGGGGCAGTGCGTTCATCACTCAGCAGCGCCCGTGCTTGTCGGACCGTCCGTGGGACAGTGCCTAGTGTGCCGTGTCCCCCGGCATCTCGAATGGAGAGCGCTGGACGAAACTAACTTCCTCCCGGAGCCGAGTCTGTGGGCTGCCCCTCCTCGCACGGTCTCCCTCCTTATGATCTCGCCTGTCGCCCTGCCTGTGTCCATAGCACACCTGCCCCTGTTCCTCCCGCCTCCGACAGGATGTGCCCGAGCTCTTGTGGCCCCCTCTGTCTCGCTGCTCTGACACCTGTCCTGTCAGCGACCAGCTGGGGGGGGGCTTCCCTGGCTGGGTGGGCCGTTGGTGCTCTGGGGGTGGCCGCGAATGTGCTAGGGGCCGACGGGGGGCTTCAGAGAGGGAGACGAGCCACGTGTGAAGGATGGAGGGTCCCGGGTGAGCGCCCAGGCCAGCAGAGAGGTGGGTCAACAACCAGAAGTTCATTGTTTAAGCAACATGGTTGGGTGGTTCTGAGCATTTTTTCTGTCGGCACTCTGGCTCTTGGTTCGGGAGATCGAGGGAAGGAAGGACGGCCAGCATAGCCCGAGAGGGGCAGGGCTGTATCCAGAGGAAGCAGGGCTCGGGGACCCAAGGGCCACCAGAGTCATCCTCCTTTCTGTGCACTGGCCCACTTGCCAGCTGAGACCCGGCCATGGAAGCTTCCTGTTCCATGGGTTACAGCCGCTACCATGGCACAGGCCTGACCTTCTGTTTTATTTCCAAAAATTGCCAGGGAGGGGATTGGCTAGAGCAGGTGCCTATCTCCGACCAGTGAGCTGTGGTCAGGAAGGAAAGAGAGACTTGCTAGGGCTGGGGTCCAGGCCCCTACCCGTATGGGAAGCCCACGTGGTGTCAGCTGCCCCCAGCGAGAGGTTGGCCCCCATGCTGTACTTCCTTGTGGCCAGGCAGTGACTCCTGCTTGGTGTGGTTCCCAGTGGACAGGAGGCTGTGGCCATGACTGGTGTGTGGTGCTGGACCTGCATGGGCCCTGGGGAGAGAGGTTGCCGGAGCAGGGGCCCTTGGAGGGAGGTACAGCGGGGTCTGTCCGGGCTGTCCCCTGTGCAGGCCAGCCTAGGGGTTTGAATCCTGCCTGTGCGTGCACCCTGTGCCTCGGGCAGGCTGCTGGAACCAGACAGCCGGGAGTGGCCACGGGGCGGCCCAAGACACTGCCGCCCTTGCCAACGGTCATGGCCGTCTGTGTCTTTTGTCAGGACTTTGCTCCCAATCACACTGTGCGCATCTCCCAAACAGCTTTTCACCAGGATCTTTGGGGTTGGGGTAAAGACTGCTGACCGCTGGTACCGGGACGGACTGCGGACCCTGGACAGCCTCCACGAACAGCTCCAAAGGCTGACCCAGCAGCAGAGAGCAGGTGAGCCTCTGAGAAGGGCAGGACCCCGGGCTGCCCACACCTGGAGCCCTCAGCACCGGCCCACGGCGCATGCCGGGGGGCTTCCTGGATGGTAGGGTGTGGGGTCAGTGCACGGAGGTCCCGGGGCAGGCGGGCCTCTCTGTTTGGCGGGGTGGAGTCTGGATCCGTTGCAGCCCATCCACAGCAAACGGTGATGGCGACAGTGACTGCTGTGACATCCACGCCTCCCGGCTAGACCAGGACGGGGAGGCTGGGTCTCAGTGGCCAGGGCCCTGTGCACAGCTTGCCGGCACGGGGCTGGTGTCCTGGCACGCTGGCAGATGGCACGGGGACCTGTGTGGCAGGAGTGGCTCAGGTCAGGGCCTGTGATGGCAGGGGGCCCCGTGCCGTGGAATGAGTGTGAGCTTGAGAGTGGGTCAGGCCTGGGCTGGATCCTGCCTTGGCCCCTAGCTGGGTGACCATGGCCCTGGGACTTGACTTCTCTGAGCCTCTGTTACATTCTCTATGAAGCGTGTGGTTCCGTGAGCAGCTCTGTGTGAGGCCAGTGGGTTGCAGGGCTTAGATGCTCTGTCCTCCTTGTGTGGCTGGGGTTGGGGGCCCTGTCCGAAGTCGTTCCGCAGCCTGGCACCCACCGCATCTTGGAATATTTCCCCTGGGCTGGGGGAGGGGAGGCTGTATAGGGGACCCCATGCCATGAGACCCAGGGAATCACATGTCTGTGACAGAGGAGCTGTCACTGCTGGTGCCACTTGGCCGCTCGTCCCCCCATGATGTGGTCAGGAACCACCTACTGAGAGCCTGTGCCCCCAGGTGCCGTTGCTGCCCCCTGAAACCTCTCCTGACCGTGCAGGAGGTAGCGGTGCCCCTGCAGGTGCTGAGATGGGCCAGGGCTCCAGTGAAGGGGTTCTACCTCTTTCACGTCCTTATCACCTCTGGCCCATTTTATGGAGAGGAAAACTGAGGCCTCAAGGGGTAGGGTCTGCATCGTGAGGGCATCCACACCAGCACCCCGATGGGACGGACAGTCATTGCCATGGTGGGGAGTGGGTGCGGCATGTGGGGGCTTCTGCCCTTTCATGCAGCTGCCCGCGGATCTATGGTTTCCTCTACCTCGAAGCGAGGAGGGTCCGGTGGAGAGTGCAGCCGGTGGGGTGGGGACGGTCAGCGGCCCGTGCTTCTGCAGGACTCCAGCACTACCGTGAGCTGAGCGTCCCGGTGCAGCGGCCAGAAGCCGAGGCCCTGCAGCAGGAGGTGGAGGCTGCCGCTGTGGACATCCTGCCCGGGGCCACCGTGACGCTGGTGGGCGGCTTCCGGAGGTGAGGGGGTCTGACGGCCCTCGGGGAGGGCACGGAGCGGGCCTTGCTCCTGGGACCGGGGAGTGCATGGCTGCCACAGCCCTGCGCGGCGAGTCAGACGGGTTGACGGTGCCCCCACAGGGGTAAGTTGCACGGCCACGACGTGGACTTGCTGCTCAGCCATCCCCAGGAGGGCCTGGAGGCAGGGCTCCTGCCCCACGTGATGTGCCGCCTGGAGAGGCAGGTGAGGGGCTTGGGCTGCCTGGGCTGGGAGGACTGTGGGACCCGGGTTTCTGCCCCGGCCCTGCCCCACGGCTGCGGCCACACCTGCTCCGCCTGCAGGGCCTTGTCCTGTACCACCAGCACCGCCACGGCCACCCTGAAGACGCCGCGCGCCGGACCCGGCACAGCCACACCATGGACGCCTTTGAGAGGAGTTTCTGCATTTTCTGCCTGCCACACCCCCCGGGGGCCGCGGCGGGGGGCGCCCACAGGCGGGCCGTGCGCGTGGACCTGGTGGTGGTCCCTGTCAGCCAGCTCCCCTTCGCCCTGCTTGGCTGGACGGGCTCTAAGGTAGGCACGTGCCGTGGGGGCCGGGCCGGGGGCTGCGGGGGTCGCGGCCCGGCCACAACCCCGCTCTCCCCAGCACTTCGAGCGGGAGCTGCGCCTCTTCAGCCGGAAGGAGAGAGGGCTGTGCCTGAACAGCCACGGGCTCTTTGACCCTGAGCAGGTGTGTCGCTGGGGGGACACCTCGGGGGAGGAACCTGCTGGCCTTGGGCTGCCCTTTCCCACGCCCTCCCCACACCCTTCCTGAGGAAGGCCCGGTGGCCGTGGGGGGTGGGGCTGCTCCCAGGCCCTGACGCCCGCACTCTTGCTGCAGAAGATGCTGCTCCGTGTGGCCTCCGAGGAAGACATATTCAGGCACCTGGGCCTCGAGTACCTTCCTCCAGAGCAGAGAAACGCCTGAACCTGCCTGCCCGGCCCACTCTGCGCTGGCGAGCCAGGCCCTGTGGGCTCCGGGAGAAGCTGCACTGCTGCCCCAGGCCCTCGCCCCTGCCGACCCCTGACTGGAGCCCCACCTTGCAGGGCGCTTCTCCCCCACTCCCCAACTTCCAGTCCAGGATCTAATGAAATGAGCACATGGTCCAAACCAAGCTCTGTGTTCTGAGCATGCTGCTGTGATGGGGGAGCGCGGGGCACCTGGCCCCCATCGGCTATGGGATGATGGTTGGGGGCAGGGGCCACCATGGCAGGGTGCCACTGGGCCAGTGAGAACGTGACTGGCACTATCTCCCTGGTGGGGCGGTTGCAGAGCCCGAGGTGGTGGATGGCAGTCTCCCAGGGCTCCAAGCCGGGGGATGAGGGCCTGGAGCCCCCCTGCCCCGAGAGTCTGCCAGCACCTGGAGAGGGACAGGACGTGGAGCTGGGGTGGGGCAGAGACTTTCGGGTGCTGAACCCCACCTCCCAAGCAGGTGTCCCAGCTCTGCCTTTGCTCTTCCAAGCTCTGTCCTCGGGCCTTTAACAGCAGGTCGCTCAGCATCCCCCCTCGTTCCCCACATTCCGCAGCTCCCCTCCTCTGCACCCCCCACCTCTGACCCGGCCATCACGGAGGGAAACTGAGTGTGTGGAGTTCCCCGCTCGGCCCTCGGGCCTGCTCCCGCTCCAGCGCCCTCACTGCTAGACTGTCCACTCGGAACACTGTCCCGACGCACAGGTCTCTGTCAGGTTAGGACTCCCCGGACCACTTGCTGGAATAAAAAATATTTTTTTAAAGTAACTTGCAGAGTAACCTTGACTCTTTTTGGTGTACGGTTTGACGACTTATAACGTGTAGACACGTCCACCTCCACCAGGCCAGCCTTGAAATAAAACAGCCAGTGGTTGTACCGGCAAAATGGGTTTCTTGGGAACGGCAGAGGAGCGCGGTGAGAACAGGACCAGGAGGAGGAGGTTGGGAGGGACTGCTCTGTGCAAGTCCGATGGAGGAAGTCGGGGGGCTCTGGTGAAGCCTGGGGGCAGGGCAGGCTCCCTCCTGAGCTGGTGTGGCTTCCAGACTCCTCTAAGGGAGGCGGCCTTCCCGCAGCCTGCTCAGCATCGGGACGCCCCTGCGCTGCCCGTCACCGTCACGTGCTCACGGTGCTTCCCTGTCCCCGCGGGTGTCCTGTGGGATGTCCCGTGAGTGCAGGGGGACTCCCTGTGCACTTCCGAGACTGACCCCTCCAACGGTGCCTCTGAGAGTCCTCTGGGCGCCCACTGTTCCCCCTTCCACCCGCAGAGCCCCCAGAGTTGGGCCGTCCGCCCGGTGAGAACTTCGTGTCCAGGCTCCAGTGACAACAAGACACCGAGAACCACCACAGACTTGGACATGCAGGTTTTCCTTTGTCTCGGGCACACGGTGAGATGCGGGGTTTCCTGGGCTCATGGGGTGAGGGTATGCCACTTTCTGAGACCGCGCCGGCTTGTCCTGCAGGGCGCCCGCATCGCACACGCACCAGCTCGGTGTCCCCAGAGCCCGGCACCGGGTCCTTGGCCACGCTCGCAGTGTCCCGGGGGCGCGTGGCCGTTCTGTGGGCGGGCAAGTGTTCACTCCTCAGCCCAGCACCTCCCGAGCCCACGGCTTACCTTTTACGAGGGCTGCCTTACCCCTGCGCCAGGCTGCCGGTGTCTGTCCTCATGACTTTGGGTCACATCTCCGACCCCAGGTTACAAACAAACGTTTTTCTCTGTTTTCTTGTAGAACGTGCGTTTTACACCTAGGTATGGGACTCATTTTGAGTTACTTTTGTTGTAAGTCTGAGGCTGAGGTTGACTCTGGTGTCTGCACGTGGATGCCCGGGGCTCCGGCACCGTCTGGTGACAAGACCATCTTTTCCCTCCCAGATTGCCTTTGAGCCTTCCTGAGACGTCTGTTGGCCGTTTTTGTGTGGGGCCGTTGCTGGGTTCTCTTCTGTTCCTCCCTCGCTGTGCCCGTCGCTTCGAAAGTACCATCCCGACTCGACCGCCCAGAACTGGGGAGCCGGCGAGAGTCCCCTGACTCTGTCCTCCCCACATTGTTCGGCCTCCTCCTCTCCTGACTCTCCGCAGCGATTTTAGAGTCCGCTTGTCTGTCTACGAAGCACTACTTCGGGACTCGTGAACACATGCCGTCTCTGCTCCTGTCTGCTTGACTGCGACCCTTCCGTCCGGGTTGTACGGTTTTCAACAGAGCTCTGTTGGGTTTGCGCCTGACGTCCTCCCCCCTTGCTGCCGTGGCAGATGCTCTCCGTGTCCAGTTGGTCACTGCGAGCACTCGCAAACCCGCCGACCCTGGTGCGTCACTGTCGGCCCCAACACCAGACAGAATCACCATTAGTGTAGATTTCTGGCCATTCCATCTGTCCATGCCAACAGCCCTGCTGTGTGTGACTGGGAGCGATTTCAGGTCCCCTGCTACTTGCTTGTGTGGCCTCACTGGCCTGGCCAGAGCCTCCGGGATGCCACAGGCGGGCGCGGGCCCCTTTGTCCAGCACCCAGTCGTGGGCTTGGCATTTCCCCAGACCTTAGGGGTCTGGCCTCTGTAGGTGCCCTTTATCCAGTGGAGGAAGTTAAGCTTTATTCCTAGTTTTCTGAGTGTTTTTGTCAGGAAGGGGTGTTGGATTTTGTCAAACACTTTTTTATCCCATTCATTGAGATGATCGTGAGTCATTTCTATCAAAAAACGTAACGTTCTCCTGATATGGTATATTAACCGGATTTCAGAGTTAACCTCCCGGCATAAATGTCGTGGTGTACAAAGTCCATTGTATTTGCTACTGGAGTCTGTGCTGAAGTTTGTACACAACAGGTCCTGTCTGCAACTGTCTCTGATGTCTTTGATGAGTGATGGTATCAGGGTCTTTGATACCGCTCACTTTGACCAACGTGCTTTATATTTATGGTGAGTTCCTTGAAGCCAGCATGGGATTGGGTGATTTTTAAAAGTCCAGAGTATAACGTGTCTTTAATTCACCGTGTTTGCTGTGATATTGTGATACACAGGGCACCTGGCTGGCTCAGCCGGTTGGGCATCCGACTCTTGATTTCAGTTCAAGTCTTGATCTCAGGGTCCAGCAACCCAGCCCCGTGCCGGGCGCCTGCTCACTGTGAAGCCTGCTTCTCCTTCTCCCCACTCCTGCTCTCTCTCTTTCTCTCTCAAACAAATAAAAATCTTTTTAAAAATATATTTATAATATTTATATTTATATATTTATACCTGCATGTAATATTTATAGAAAAATATTTAAATAGAATAAAAAATATTTATAAAATATATTTGGTCTTCCCATCCACCTCCTGGCCAGAGTCCTGAACCCCATGCAATGTCTCAGGTGAAAAGAGTGTCTTTTTTCCAGTGAGGCGCTCAGGATGGGGCCCAGATTAGAAGCCCAGCCCCAAGCTCAAGGGAGGGGAGAGGTGCTGGAGATGGCCATAATCAGTCATGCCACGAAAGTCCCTGAAGTGCGGGTCCGGAGAGCTGCTGGGGTGGGGACATGTCCTGTGCCAGAGGCTAGAGCACCCCAGTTCCCCAAGGTTGAGGAGCAGGCGCTGATGCAGTTGGGGCCCTTCAAGACCTCACCCTACGCACACCGTCATCTGTTTGAACAGGCCTGTTACCATGTTCTTTGTTGTGTGATAAACCGGTAAATGAAAGAGTTGTCCTGAGTTCTGGGAGTTGTTGAGCAAAGTATCATCCCAGAGAGGGGCTTGCGGGAAGCCCGATCAGCGGCTGACCTGGCGGAGGTGCGGGAGAGCAGCTGGGGCTTGCCATTGGTGTCTGAAGCAGGGGGAGTTTTGGGGGACTGAGCCCTTCCCCTGTGGGGTCGAAGCGGTCATCAGGGACACGGTGTTAGAGCCGAGAGAGATGGTGGGACCCCCAATTCTCCTCGGTGGAGAGCTGCCTGGTGCGGTGAGGGTGGTCAGTGGCGTGAGGAGTAGAGCCCGAGAGTAGAAACAGCCTCGTTTCCGTTAGCTGCTGTGCAGACAGTGCCCGTGTCCAAGGCCAGACCCTTCCGATTTAATGAAACTATTGCATGGTTTGGGGTTAGGCGAGCAGTTGTTCTCTGTTTCTTCTTTCCTGCCCTGCTGCTCTCTTCCTGACTGCATTTCTTTGTAGATACCATATTTATGCGGCCGCCCGCGTGGCTGTCAGTGAAATGTCGGCCTTTAGCTCAGGTCCTGATCCCGGGGTCCCAAGATCGAGTCCTGCATCAGACTCCTTACTCGGCAGGGAGTCTGCTTCTCCCTCTACTCCTCCCCCATTCTTGTGCTCTCTTGCCCGCTCATTCATTCTCTCAAATAAATAAAATCTTTAAAGAAAAGTATTTAGTGGCTCTAGGAATTATAGACACACTTTTCGTAGCCTGCTTAGGATTGACATCTCATCAGTTCGTGTGGGGTGGAGAGCCCGCAGCGCCGTGCAGGTCCCCGCTCCCTTCCTGTTGTAGTTCGAGTCCCTCTACATACACTGGAACCCCCAGTGGTGTTAGAATGACAAATTCTAAATTTATAATTTATATATATATGCAGTTATAAATTAAGTTTATATTATACACAAAACTCAAGTGTAGGGGGCGCCTGGGTGGCTCAGTCGTTAAGCGTCTGCCTTCAGCTCAGGTCATGATCTCAGGGTCCTGGGATCCAGCCCCGCATCGGGCTCCCTGCTCAGCGGGGAGCCTGCTTCTCCCTCTCCCACTCCCTCTGCTTGTGTTCCCTCTCTCACTGTGTCTCTCTCTGTCAAATAAATAAATAAAAATCTTTAAAAAAAGTAAAACTTAAGTGTGGCTATGTGTACATACGTATATAGCTAAACTTCACAATGAAAACTGCCAGTTATTTCACCAGGAACAGATGGGCTTATTCAAGAGTAAGAGAATTTCAATCCCAGACAATCAAGCTGGGCAAAACCCTAAGCAAGTCTGGGACCGAGGAGAAACGGGGTGGCTCAGGAGGGGCTGTTATGAGCCCAAAGTGCGTGCGACAGAGGAAGCTGGGAGTGGGAAGTGAGCTGTGGCCCTGGGACGAGGGACGTGTCTCTCCCTCCTGCACATGTCCCAGCCTCGGGCATGCTCCAGTCCAGGTGAGGGCCCTGCGGGCTCTTCCTGTCGGGTCAGTGACGGGCCCAGGGGAAGGCCGTGAGCGCCCCCTGCCGGAGCCCCCCTCCATCTCTGGGGGGTTTTCCGGTACTGATTTTCACTATATATGTGGTTTCTCCCCATTTTTAAAAGATTTATTTATTTTAGAGAGAGAAAGAGAGAATACAAGCAGGAGGGGCAGAGGGAGAAGGAGAGAGAATCCCAAGCCCGATGCGGGGCTCGCTCTCACGACACTGAGATCACGACCTGAGCCGAAACTGAGAGTGGGGCACCCCACTGGCTGGGCCCCCCAGGCGCCCCCCTATGTGTATCTTAACAATTTATGTTGCTCCTCCTGTATTCTCGATGTTCTCAGTTTCCCTACGACCCCATTTCTCTTCTGTCTGGGGAACTTTGTTACTATTTTCTTCTAGAGCAGCTGCTCTAGGTATGAATTCTCTTGCTTTTTCTTCATCTGGGGATGTCTTTGTCCCACCTTCGTGCCCCGGGGCATTTCTGCTGGGTATAGAATTCTCAGGCTACAATTCTTGCATTTTGACAGTTTGCAAACATTGTTCTGCTTCCTTCTAAGCGCGCATGGTTTCTGGTCTGGCGAAGAATGGCTCCCGGCATGAAGTGAATCATTTTCCTCTGGCTGATTTTGGAATTTTTTCCTGGTCTTTAGCTTTCATATGTCTCATGGTGATGCGTCGGCATGAGTTTCAGTTCTACGACACAGTGTTACCAGCAGTAATCACCATGCTTTGCGCTGGGTCTAGACTTTCTTCATTTTCCAGACTCTCCCTATTTCCCCCACCCCCAGTCCCTGAAAATCACTTTTGTGCTCCGTTGCCTTCTGGATTGGACCTTCTTCTTTTTTTAAAGTTCCCTGTGTAAGTCGTACCACGCAGTATTTATCTTCATCTGCCTAATGTCCATGAGATAACACACCCAAAGTCCGTCGTGTTACGGCAGACAGCAGGATTTTCCTTCTCCTCACTGGATAGTATTTCATTGTGTATCACACACATGATACGTGTGTATATGTACGATGATATGTGTGCATCACACCTTTATCCACTCCTCTGTTGATGGACACTCAGCTTCCATCTCTCCCTCTCGGCTGTCACGAATGCCACAGTGCATACGGGACCGCCAATATCTCTTTGCAATTCTGTTCTCATTTTCTTCAGCTGCATACTCCGAAGTGAGATTTCTGGATCATGGGTATTTTTCATGTTTCGAGGAAACTCTGTACTGTCTTCCAGAGTGGCTGTACCTGCATTCCCAGCACGGTGCACGGGGGCGTGGGTGATCTCAGCAACACTTGTCATCTTTTGTCTTCTCGGTGACGGCCATTTGAACAAGTACGTGGGGATCTCCATTATGGTCTTGATTCGCACTTGCCTGGTGATGACTGGCGAGGAGCGTCTCTTCAGCACCTGCCAGGACTCGCTTCCCTAGAGCCAGGATGGGGCTTCCAGGTACACGTGGTTGCAGGATCTTGCAACTTCCAGGCCCTTCTGTGATGCCCTTGGCATTTCCCAGGCCCACGTTCAGGTCTAAAATCATGATCTAGGAGGCTCCCAAACTCACTTCCTTCTCTAGATACACCAAATCCACAGGCACAGAGAAGCAGTGCTCTCTAAAAAGAAATCCAGAAACCAGTTGAACAATTGCTACGTACTGGGCACATGTGAAAGTACACACAGCAGTCTGGGTCACCAGTGTCTGCCTGGAAGGAGCTTGTGTGCGTGTTGCCACCCTGGCTCTGACAGCTGCCTTCCAGAGGCCACGTCCCTTGATCACCCATTTCTGGTGGCCCCGTGAGGCTCACATGCACAGGCCCCACAGGACGGTTCAAAGAAGACACCGTTCTTAAACAGCTCTCTGCCCAGGGCTCAGCACAGAGTATGCAGACTGAAATCTTATCTCCCAGGCTTTCCATGAAAGAGGACTGCGCTTACTTTAAAAGCTGCTGCCTGAGGGTCAGCCTTCTAATTTAGCACACATCCAAGGCTGAGCCTCCCCTTTGGGACACTGGCAGGACTTGGCACTCTTTCAACCACTGGGAGCCACTGAGAAGAAAGAAGGTGGCTTGGGCCATTGGAAAGGTTTGAGAGAACCAAGAGTTTGGGCTGGGCTGACTATGACAAGCTTCACCCCCTCATGAGAGCCCTCTGTCAGGGATCAGAGAGGCGGCTGTTGTACCAAAGACACAGAAGCCAACACAGAGAGTCCAGGAAAATGGACAGAGGAATAGGCTCCAAACAAAAGAACAAAACTCCAGAAACAGACCTTCACGAAATGGAGATTAGTGACTTAACCTGATAAAAAGTTGAAAATAGTGTCAATAGCTCAGGAGAATTAGGCATGAACAAATGAGAATTTCATCAAAGACATGGAAACTCTAAGGACGTACCACACATAAACCAAAGAGATGAAGGCTACAGAAATGGAAACGGATTAAACGGAGGGTTCAGCAACAGACGACGTAGAGCGGACTTGACAGTACAATGGAGCTCATCTGCTCAGAGGAGGAGAAAGAAAAAGTGAAAAAGAATAGCTTAAGGGTTTTGTGGGACACTCCAAAGAACCAGAACGGGCGTTACAGGGTCCCAGAAAGAGGAAAGAGAGTGAAGCTTCTTCGAAGAGATAATGGCTGAAAACCCCACTACCCTGGGACAAGAACTGCGTGTCCGATCCAGGAAGCCCACAGAGTCCAAATAAGACGAGTTCAAAAACCCCACACTGAGACCCATTTTAATTAAGTTGTCAAGAGTTAAAGATAAGGAGTAGCTTGAAGTGTCTTAAAGTATCTTACTATTAAAAGCAGTGAGAGAAAAACAACTTTGTACATGGGAGTGTCATGATACTTTCAAAGTGCTGAAGGAAAAAACAAAACCAAAAAACTGCCAGCCCAGAACACTCCACCTGGCCAAGCTGTCCTTCAGGACTGAAGGAGGGAGAAGGAATTTTCCAGAAAAGCAGAAGTTGATGGAGTTCATCATCACCAGACCAGCCTTATAAGAAATATTGAAAAAGGGCGCCTGGGGGGATACCTGGGTGGCTCAGTGGGTTAAGTGGCTGCCTTCGGCTCAGGCCATGATCTCAGGGTCCTGGGATGGAGCCCTGCGTCGGGTTCGGCAGGGAACCTGCTTTCCCTCTCCCTCTGCCTCTTTCTCTACTTGTGATCTGTCAAAAAAAAAAAAAAAAAAAAAAAAAGATAAAGTTCTTGAAGCCATGCCTCAAGCTTCTCCAGAAATCCGCGTCAGGACGCAGGGCCCACCTGCTCATGTCCCTCTGCCACACTCTCCTGTGGGGACTGGTTCTTCACTGCCCCTCTGCCTGTAGTGCTGTCCCCCAGAGCTCGTCCTGGCCGAGTCCTTTGTCCTGCACCTCCAAGGCCCCGTCTCTAGCCCCTCCCGCTGCCCTCCCGCCTCTCCCTCTCCCCTCGCCAGGACGCAGGAAGGGAGTTGGGGGAAATTGGAAGGGGAGGTGAACAATGAGAGACTATGGACTCTGAAAAACAATCTGAAGGGTTTGAAGAGGTGGGGGGGTGGGAGGTTGGGGGAACCAGGTGGTGGGTATTGGAGAGGGCACGGACTGCATGGAGCACTGGGTGTGGTACAAAAACAATGAATACTGTTATGTTGAAAATAAATTAAAAAAATGATTTAAAAAAAAAAAAGAAAAAAACTTGTTGAGTAGCTCGTCCCCCACTGAACAGGAGCTTCCTGCCTGGCTCTCTGCTGGGCCCCCAGGGCCTGACTTGCGGTCAAGGGGACAAAAAACAGACCACATAGCGTCCGTGTGGCTCTAATAAGGGCAGAGACGGAGCAGCAAGGCCGGCCTACGTGTGGCGCTTCGAGGAGGAGGGTGGCCTCCACCCTCCCAAATCTGAATGCAGAGGTCTGGTCCCCAACACCCACCTCGGCCCATGCTCCTGTTGGGCATGAACCCGACAGCCCGTGCCTCTGCGGAGCACACCTCTCAGATTTCTTTCTTTGAAAGGTGGTTTCGGTGGGGAGGGGCAAGCCTGAGCCTGGGTGACAGCGGGTCGTGTGGGAGAGTGTGGCAGCGGCATCCACAGCTCCCCTCTGGCCCAACCCCTCCATCTCCCCTGGCTGTCTTGGGAACAGTGCTGGCCGGCTCAGCTCAGCCCCCTGCCAGCACTATGGCCTCGTGCCCCCCCTGCAGGGCCCAACCGCTGGCCCCAGGGCCCCCACCCACTCCCCTGGCTCTGCCCACAGGGACCTGATCTTTCACTCCCTTCTGTTCCTCGAGGGGACTAGTGGAGGTGAGGTCACCAGGCCCACCCCCCGGCCTGCCCATTGGCCACAGGCCCCCTCGGGACTCATCATCGGGCGAGCAGGGCAGAGGGAGCTGGGGAGGGGGGCCAGAACTCCTGGGGGAAGCCCCCCTCTGCAGCCCCCATGCCCAGCTGAGCAGAGCAGAGCCACGGGGGGAAGCTCCTGGCCACTCACAGGCTTGCACGCACGCACACACACATGTGTGCACATCACACCCAGGCACGCTTGTGCCCGCGCACGTGTGCACACAGACGTGTACATGGGCAGACACAGACTCCTCTTACACAAGCCGGCTGCCTTGGCGGTATGCAGGCTCGCTCGCTCCCAGTTACGGTGACAAGGACCAGCCACTGGGCGTGTGGCCCCCTCCCGCCTGCAGGGAGGAGCGAGTGCTCAGAGACCGGCTGGGTTCTCGCCAGCAGCACCCTCCGGGCCTGTGGGGGACTCTGCCCCTCGTGCCCCATCCTGCGCGCAGCCCCACCCAGCCCAGGCACGGGTGGCTGCTGGGGCTATTTTAAGGCTGGCTCTGGGCCTGCCCTCCCCCCCAGGCTTTGCTACTGGCCACCTGCCGCCGCCCGTCCGGCCTGGAATGCTGACTGGCAGTTGGTGTGGGGGCGGGGGGGGGCTGCGGATAGACTGTTATAAAACCGGGTGCACCGGGGAGGCCGCCGTCCCTGCCTGCGGCCCCCGCCCCACCATGTCCACCCACCGCCTTGTGATGGTCCGGCACGGCGAGAGCACCTGGAACCAGGAGAACCGCTTCTGTGGCTGGTTCGATGCAGAGCTGAGCGAGAAGGGGGCCCAGGAGGCCAAGAGGGGCGCCCAGGCCATCAAGGACGCCAAGATGGAGTTTGACATCTGCTACACGTCGGTGCTGAAGCGGGCCATCCGCACCCTCTGGACCATCCTGGACGGCACGGACCAGATGTGGCTGCCCGTGGTGCGCACCTGGCGCCTCAATGAGAGGCACTATGGGGGCCTCACGGGGCTCAACAAGGCCGAGACGGCCGCCAAGCACGGGGAGGAGCAGGTGAAGATCTGGAGGCGCTCCTTCGACATCCCGCCACCCCCTATGGATGAGAAGCACCCCTACTACAACTCCATCAGCAAGGTGCGCTGCCTGGGACAGCAGGGAAGGGTCTAGGGCGGGCAGGGCCTCGGGCAGGGCTCGGGCGGGGATGGGGGGCTGGCTTTCTGGGGAGAGAACAGCGGTGTGGATGACCCCAGGAGCGGCGATACGCAGGCCTAAAGCCGGGGGAGCTGCCCACTTGCGAGAGCCTCAAGGACACCATCGCCCGGGCCCTACCCTTCTGGAACGAGGAGATCGCCCCCCAGATCAAGGCTGGCAAGAGAGTGCTCATTGCAGCCCACGGGAACAGCCTGCGGGGCATCGTCAAGCACCTGGAAGGTGAGGCCCATCCTTGCAGGGGGTGTGGGCAGAGGCAGGTTGTGGGGGGCGGATGGGACACATGCCCTTGAACCACTTAGCTCCCAAATTCTCATCTCAGCTACGTGCCCCCTGCCCAGACAGCTCTGCACACATAAGCACTCAGGGTCAGGAGTCAAACTGTGAACTAGGACTAAAAAACCGCTTAAAAAGACTACTTTGCAAAATGTTTGTTTTACTCGTTTATGTGCTGGGACACTAAATACAATGACTTTCCCTCTGGAGATCGAGGGTGGAAACATCTGCTGCTCCGACCCGGGCCCAGAGGCCTGGGGCTGGCTGGGCTTCCTGGACACGAGCCTGGGAAAGATGGGAAGGCCATGCCCAAGGACGCCCGGGCCCCGCGGCCAAAGCCGGGCTGTCTGGCCCCAGCTCTATCTGCTGTGTGGCCCTGGGCAAGTCACTTCACTTGCTAGGTCTCCACCACCTTCTCTGGGGTTGGGGAGTGCTCATTAGGCCCAGGGCAGGGGAACCCAGGCCCTCAGTTCACACCCCTGCAGGGGAACGGTAAGACCAGTCAAGAAGGTGCAGGGGTGCAGCCGTCCTCGAGCCCGGCCTGCAGCTGGGTTCCCAGCAGGGAGCCCGGCGCGCTCCTCCACTGGGCTCCCTCGGACACTCACACAGATCCTTGGCCTTCAGGCTTGCTGAAGTGTGGAAAGAGAAGAAGGCCAGTAGGGTGGGGAGCCCCAAGCCCCCTGCTCTGCTGGCCAGAGTGCAGACAGGCGGGCCCCTGAGGCCTGGCCAGCCCCAGTCCACCCTCTTCAAGACCACCTCGTGCCCCTGCTCTCCAGGGACTGGGTCTGGGAGAGGAGCACGGAGGCCAGCCTCACTGCAGTCTCCCACCGCTTGGAGAACAGGGAAGGTGGGGGTGGGGTGCCAGAGCCGCAAAGGTCGAGCTGCTATTCCGGGCCAGGGGCTGCAGAGGCCGGCAGGGTCAGGTTTCCCTGGAAAACCTCGCCCTTTCCACCCACAGCCTCCCCTCCGCCCTGGTCACAGGAGGCCCTGCTCACTGTCCCTCCACCCCTGGTTGTCAGGAGCACCCCTGCTCTTGATGGCTGGAATTTAGAGTGTTCTAGAAACCAAACAGAAGAGACCAACAGCACAGCCCCGGGTCTCAGTGGCTCCTGGTTCGGGGCATAAGGTCCCGGTTTACCACGGCTATTTCTGCAGGCGACTCAGTCTCTCACTACTGGCTCGCCCGTCTCCAGGGGCATCCGTGTGGGGGGCTTGCTGCGGGGGATGGGAGGGCTGCTGCCTGGCTGGCCAGACTCTGTGGCCCCATAAAGGTCACGGGGCCTGCTGAACGTGAGGGCAGGCCGCTGCCTGGCAGACTGGCCGAGGGGATTAAGGACCTGTTCCCCTGGTCCAGGGATGTCAGACCAGGCCATCATGGAGCTGAACCTGCCCACGGGGATCCCCATCGTGTACGAGCTGGACCCAGCACTGAAGCCCACCAAGCCCATGCGGTTCCTGGGGGACGAGGAAACCGTGCGGAAGGCCATGGAGGCCGTGGCTGCCCAGGGCAAGGCCAAATGAAGGGGGGTGGTTTTCTGGCAATAAAGGTACCCTCTCCTACCACCTTGAGTCTGGTGTGGCCCCAGCATGCCCAGCTCCAAGGCCCTGAGCGAGGGGCTCCACAAACCCTGCCCCAGTGCCCTCGGGCCCTGCCGCCCACCCGATCAGGTGGGAGGGCCCCAGGAACCAAGGGCAGGAGTCTCGTCCCCGAGCCAGGCTATCAAGGACCTTGTAGCAAGCGCCCTGTGGTGAGACAGCCACCTGGTAACCTTGCCCAAGCATCGGGGTGCCTGGGGTGACCCAGCTGTCCCCAGTGAGTGGGTACTGCAGTGAGGACACCACCTCATGGCCAGCTTCCCTCGGGTGGGCTGTCCCTGTCGTCCCTGTAGCCCTAGGGTGAGCAGGGTGAGGTGGTACTGAGTCCCACCCCCTGGGTGTCCCCACAGCTGGGGACATGCCCACCACTGGCCTCTGAGCTGGCAACACGGACTCCTGGGGCCTCTGTAGCTGGGGGCGGAGAATCAGGGCTGGCGAGGCTGCCTTTGCAGCCTAGGGGACAAGGGGGGCCATCTGCCAGCAGCCGGGGCCAGGGGTCTCAGTGCAGCCATCACACCGGTTGCTCTTCCCTGGCAGCTGCCAGAGCACAAAGGGAATGGCAGCTCCCGACACACGTGCACGCACTCTGCACGGGCAGGGAGGGCGGCCGCCAGCCCCTCCCGGAACATGGAAATGCAACAGGCTGACGTGAGTCACATCTTGACCTTTATGCCTCTCCTAGTGGCCACAGTCGGCACACCCACCTGCACACACCCCCACACACCCCGGGGAAGGGGCTGATTTCCACACGGCGGCATTCAGGCCACAGTAGGGCAGTGCTCACTCTGGAAGCAGACACAGGTGGGCTGGGACGGACAGGGTGCGACAGCAGGCATCGGCCCTCTGGTCACTCCCCCGGAACCAGAATCCGGTGACAGCACACACCGGGGCCGGTGGAACAGGGCGCACCCCACAGATGGACGTGGGTTTGCTGATCACACACTCGGATGGGGTCATCCCTGCACCACTTCGCATAGTCTGCAGCCCCGGGCGGAGGAACGGGGAACAGGGGCACAGGGTAGGACCCAGAAAGACGACCTGCTGCCCAAACCCTCACGACCCACCCAGACTTTGGTCCTAAATGCTAAGGTCACTGTTCCCAAAGACTGCTACCAGCCGAAGCCACCACCCTTTAGGGCCAGGAGGAGAGGAACCACAAGGCAAAGGCCCCTGCTCAGACCGCCCGGCGAGGCCACACCACGGCTCCCTGTCCTCCGCGGGGATCAGAGGCCAGGCTGGCTGGGAGGGCCCAGGGCAGCCAGAGCACATTTGGGGATCACAGGGTATTGCTGTATCCAGAGTGACAAGCTGAGCACCCTAGTCTGAGAGATCCCAAGGGCTTGTCTTCTTTGCGGGGGGTCCCATGCCCAGAGGAGTGCCGTGTGGCTCTCGCGGCACGCACGTCACGTCCCCGGCAGTAAGAGAAGCACGCGTGGGGGGAAGGGTAGGAGACGGCCTCGGCGCAGCCAGCAGCAGGGGCCTCACTCGATGAGCTCCACATAGTTGGCCGGAAACATGCCGAAGTGGCCGTCCGGCCCGTAGCCACGCCACCAGCCCTCGTCGATCACCTCGATGCCCGTGATGAGATTCTCGGGGTCGAAGGAGATCTCCGTGTCATCAGCTGCAGGATGGGGAGTTGGAGGCTGCACTGGGGGCCGGGGGCCCTTCCCGACGGCCACTTTCCCCCGACACACCTTCTAGCAGGACCTGACTCCAGGCCCCCTGCCTCCGCACAGCAGCCTGCTTCCTGAGCCTCCAGGCAGGTCCCCGGGTTCCGGCGCGCAGGGTCCACCCACCCTCTGCTCACTCCCGGGCTCTAGCACGATGCCGGCAACTGGGATTCACGGGCAGCTGCCCAGCACGATGGGAAGGCCCAGGCCGTGCAGGGCATCCACCCCGTCCTTCCCCCACCTTCCTTGAGTCCCAAGGGAGCGTCGGAAGCCTGCCTCCTGACACGGGGCCCTGCAGGGTGAGTGGCCGGGCCGCTGCACATTACCTGCCTGGTAGTCGTACAAGGCCCGCGCACAGAGCCCTTTGCCGCTCAGCCCCGGGTAGTGGTCCACGTGCTCAGAGCCGGCGTCTTGCTGCGGCACCTGTTCCTGCACAGAAAGAAGAGAAGTCTGGGCTCCACGTTATAGGCCCACACCGGGCCTGGGGGGAGGGCACAGCACACAGAGAGCAAGGGCTGCTGCCATCCTACTGCCCCCAAGATGTCCCCCTGCCCCAGGACCTTCCTGGCTGGCAGATGAATGCTACACCATGTACTCCCCGGGGCCACTCCAACACTGAACGAGAGAATCCCCATGTAGCGGCCACCGGAAAGTCAGGCACCCCGCGCCCGGCATGGGTGAAGAGAGTGTTTCTGGGCAGGGGGCCCCTTCACAGCCGCGCCCCGCTGCAAGGAACCCACCATCGGGGGCTCCTCATAGACGGTCTCTTGCTCTGGAGGCTCCTCGTACACAGCCTCCTCTTCTGCCTGCACTGGACACGGCGGAGGGCTGGGCGCCGGGTCCTCGCGGACATCTGCATGGGAGGGTGCGGCCCACGCTGAGCCCGGGGAGGGGTGCAGACGCCCTCCTCCCTCCCACACTCCTACCCCCAGCCCCCCACGGGGCAGCCAAGCGCCTTGCCTGCCCTGGGCCTCGAGGAGGCCTGAGTGGGCTCCAGGCTGCGGTGGGTCTCCGGCTGGGTGAGCTGTTTCTGCAGGAAGGGGCTCCTGAGCTTGCCTGCAAACAAAGGTAAGCATGCAAGTTCTGGACGAGGGAGAGATGAGCTGTATCTACTTCTTCTGTCCCCTGTGCTGCCTGGAGCGGGGACCTGTCCCGGGACATAGCTGTCACAGGGATGGGGGAGAGGATAGGGGGACACACAGCCGCTGCAGAAACACATCACACACACAGTACGCTTCAAGCAGCCCCCCAGTGTGGGAAAGCTGATGGCAGTGCCATCCCGTGTCCTTGGGGGTGGAGAGGAGAGTGACAGAGGCTCTGGGGCCCGGCCACCATGTGCAAGCTACACCAAGAGTTAATGGAGCGGGGCTGGGCTGGAGAGTCTCCCTCTGAAGCCACACGTGGCCCTTCCTTTCCAGGTCTCTGCAGGACGAGGCCACGGGCAGGAAAGGAACACCTGAGGCCCAGCCTCCCCTCCCAGAAGCTACCCTTAGAGAAGTCCAGGCTCTCCTTGCTTCCTTGCCTCTGTCGCTACCTCTGGAGACCCTGCACTGGGACCCCAGGCTCCGCCTCGGCCTGCTCCTGCCTTGTGTTTAGACCCAGAGGAAAGACTCACCTGGCTGGGGGCTCGTGATGGATGTGGTGGACATGGCCCTCTCCTTCTGCCTGAAAATCTCGCGTGGGTGTGCTGGCTGGCTGACTGGCTCCTGCAGGGGGGCACATGGGCCTGGCAGTGAGGAGGGTCTCGAGGGCCTCCTCCAGGACCGGGTGGAGGACCATGCTGGCCACATCTGCCCTTCACTGCCCCCTCCACCGCCGCCTCCGGTGCAGCCACGTGTCCCAGGTTCCACTGTGCCCCAGCTGGCCGCAGGACCGTCACCCTGGCACATCAGGGACAGCCCCGGCATTACTGCCAGACCCTCGGGGGGTAGGGGGCACGCAAGTCTCACCTGCTCCTCTCGGCTCCTTGAAACCACTTCCTGCTGCTCACTCTTCCTGCTGGGGGGGCGGAGGCAGGAGCTGCAGCCCAGCCGCGGCCCCCTCGGGACCCTCCCTCCCTCTTAACTCTGGGGCCTCACCTCTGGGGCCCGGCCTCGCCGCCCTGCTCCTCCCGATAGCGCTGCTCCCGGCGGGCGGCCTCACGCAGCTCCCGCTCCCGGCGCTCCTGCTCTAGCCGCTGCCGCTCCTCCTCCGCCCGCCGCTTCTCCTCCAGCCTGCGGTTCTCCTCCTCCTTCTGCAGGGACAGCGGCCGGCCTGCCCCACTCAGCACCTGCACCCTCCTGCCCCTGAGCTGCCCGCCCGGAGGGGCCGCCCACCGGCCCAGTGACCAGAGCCCCCTCGGCCTTCGCCTGGCCACAGGCACGACCGAGGACGTGGTCCTGCGAGCTTATCTTGAGAGAACCTGAGGAACGGCGAGGATGGCGCCGTGGCACCATCTCTGAGGGGCAGCTGTGCTCCATGCGCCCCGCAGCACTCACCTCTGCTTTGGCCCAGAAGCTGTCTTTGCCAACTCTTTTGATCTCAGATATGGCGTTGGTCTTCTGGTACACGGAGCCCTGCAGACAACAGAGGGTCCTCTGTGGGGCCGCCCTCGGGAGCCCAGGGCTCAAGCAACAGCCGTGGGGACTGCACTGGGCCTGGTGCCCCCTCCGGAGACCAGCCAGCACAAGATGGCCCGAGGGCCCTGAAAGCGGCCAGGCAACGCCGACGGGGGTCTCTGGCCGCACCAGGCCCCTGGGGATGGAAGCCCGTCCCCAGCCTCAGACAGCTGACCACCGTGTCAGTGGCCAGGAGTCTCCACGGACCCCAGCTGTGCCCCAGAAACTGGGCTCCCCATAGCCGGGGTACCTGGCGTCTGCCCCCGATGGGGAGGGGCCTGCCCGCCCACCTCACATTCCTCCACAGAGCCCACCACCCAGGACTGTGCAGGACATGCTGGTGCCGTGGCCTCGTGACTGGACTGACCCTGGGGTATGAGAGGCCCCAGACCAGCCGGTGGGACCAGCAGGTGGCACAGACAGCTGCTCCTCGTGCCCACTGGCGCCTGCCCCACCAGGGGCAACCCCGGCTTCCGGCAGGCATGGGGTCACCATCGGCACCGGAATGGGGCCTGGGGACCGAAAGCCAGGCAGGCAGGAGCCCTGCCCCACGAGGGAGAAACGAGCCCGTCCGCCGGCTCCTGGCCTGCCACACTCGGGCCCAGGGAGCACTCACCACCGGGGCCTGAGGGCCTGTATCCTGGAAACGGCCGCTCTCCTTGTGGAAGGCGTAGTTGGCACCCGAGGCTCTGGCCACTTTCTGCATGACGCACTCGGGCTCCACGTCCTCCTCAGCCCTCGCGTTGATGGTCACATGGGCCCCCTGTGGCGGGACGGCACGCAGGCGTCGCAAGTCCAGGACAGGACAAGACGCACAGCTCGGGGCGCACAGCGCGGACAACTGTTGTCCTGGGCTCTGGGCTGGGGGCCTCAGGGCCGACAAAGCGCCCAAGACAAACACACTGCACTTGTCCCAGCACCAGCACGCGGTCTCTGCCCTCCGTGGCCCTGCCTACGGCTTGTTCCCAGGTGCCAGGCGCCCCCGCTGCAGGCCCAGGCACGAGAGAGATCCTTTCTAATTCACAAAAGCGAACTTCAAAAAGGATCTGGAAACACATTTTCCAAAAAACGCAACCTACCCATTTCTTTCTTTTCTGAAGTTCTTTAGGTTTTATTTATTCAAGCATCTCTACACCCAACGGGAGGCTTGAACTCTCAGCCCCGAGACTGCGTGTCACGTGCTCTTCCCACTGAGCCAGCCAGGCGCCCCCGCCCCCAATTTCTTTTTGACAAGTCAGATCCATGGCGTCACGCGCTGTTAGTAAACACCCAGCGAGCCTGGGATCCTCTCTCGGCTCCTAGATGGAGAAACTGAGGCCTATCTGAAGAAGAGTTGGAGGCCAGAAATCAAAGTCCTGAGCCTCTCTGTCAGGAGCCACAGACACGCGAGGTGACCTGACAGGCAAACGACAAGCGGTTTTGGAATTGAATGAGGTGCGCTGGAAAGGAATGCAGAAGAGGCCGGGCATGGGCAACTTCCCGTCTCCTCCAGCTCCTGACAACACGGCTGAACAAACCCTCACAAAAACAGCGAAGCCAAGGCCTTGAGCCCCAGGACTAGCCACACATGATGCTCTCTGTGCTCGAGAAGGACACAGTCATCCATCCTTCCTCCCCAGTGAGCTCAGCTCACCGGGGATCTGGCTGCAGTGCGGCCTCCTGGGCACTCGCTGAGCACGAGTGCAGGAGCCTCTGGTCGCGCTGGAGTCTGAAGGAAGTGTCGGGTGTGGACATGCTTCCAGCTCTGGCTGCCACGCGCTCACACCCGCCCAGGCGCCGTGGGAGGCCCCCTGGGGGCCGTCCTCACCTTCAGGAAGCTTGCCATGGTGCTGACGTGGTTGGCGCACGCTCCCTTCCGCACATCGTTCACACCCTCGCCCGTCTGCAACACAACACACCCAGTGTGACCTGCCAGCTCCCCCAGAGCCACCGCCCTTCCTCGGGTGCAGCAGAGGATAAAGCGAGCCCCACACCTCCAGGTCAAGGAGGTTCTCGAGGCAGGATGACCGCCCGCTTCTGCTGGGCACGGGCAGCTCAGAGCTTCCCAGTCCTACCCAGGGGTCCTGTGCTCTCTGAGCCTTCTCCAGGCCCAGGCCCTCTGCTCCCTCCGGACGACTACTCTGATTGGGACAAAGGCAAGGGTGTCGTGCAACTGCACTGTGTGCTCTGTTTTGTGGGAATGATTCTGGGCTTGGGGGTAGAGCGGGGGATTCTGCGCCGGCAAGGCCCCCCGCGGTCCTTCGGGCCGCACACACTCCAGCCACTCCCGTTCGTTCACTGCCTGTGAGCCGCCCCAAAGGCAAGTCCTCCTCTGCTCCCATCACAGAAGGCAGAGGAGGAAAGAAGGCAAAGGAGTTTTCCCAGGTCACACCTAGATGAGAACTCGGGGCCCCCCAGTTCCACGTACCCAGTTGATGAGGACAAACTTGGGCAGACCAGAGTTGGGGTCCTTCACCCTGCAGAAGCCGTACATCACCTTCCCGCTGTTGAGCTCCTCCACCATCTCCTCCAGGCCCCCCTCTGCAGCAGGCATAGGGGGCGTCAGTGGGCCCCGAGCCCGTGGCTGGCCCTGCACAATGCCCACCGGGAAGGGAAACCCAACCTGCCCCTGAGTCAGGGTTCTCAGGGCCACCTGCACCAGAATCAGACTCCTGGTCCTTCCCCACTACATGGACTTACAGGAGCTGGCGGGGCGTGGGATCTGCCTCTGTGACAAGGATCTCAAGTGATGGTGTACACCCCCCGGTTTTAAAACCATTCCTAGGGGCACCTGGGTGGCTCAGTGGGTTAAGCCTCTGAGTCAGCTCAGGTCATGATCTCAGGGTCCTGGGATCGAGCCCCACGTCGGGCTCTCTGCTCAGTGGGGAGCCTGCTTCCCCCTCTCTCTCTGCCTGCCTCTCTGCCTACTTGTGATCTCTCTCTCTCTTTCAAATGAATAAATAAAATCTTAAAAAAAAAAAGAAAAAAAAAACCCATTCCTATAAAACCCATAGGGAGTTCCGGGAAAAAAAAGATGTCATTTCTGCTACAAATTAGGTACCAGGCTTTCTTTTTTTAAAAAATTTTTAAAGGGATTTTATTTATTTATTTGACAGAGATCACAAGTAGGCAAAGAGGCAGAGAGGCGCACTTTGTGCGCAGTGAAGGTTGAAATGCCAGTGGCCGGGGACACTGCTGGCTGCGACTCTCTCCCCTCCCCAACACCTGCCTCCTGGGGCCTCCAGCCCCCGTCAGCCCACTGGCGTCCTCACTGGGCCATACTCACCCCCAGTGCCGGCCACACGGATGTCATTGCTGTTACCCTCGTAGGTGAAGAGAGCCCTGAAACACAACACAAACAAGCTCTGTGACCCGCGTTCCCGCCGCACCCACCACGAGCGGAGCACGGTGGCCACCGGCCCCGCTGGCCCACGAGGCGGGAGCTCGGCAGGCCTCCCGGAGCTGGGGCCTCTCAGGCCTTGGCGCGGCAGCATCTCCTGAGGGACAAACTTACGCAGGGAGCCCTGTCTGCCACGAGAAACACCGAGCTGTGAAGGTTGTTCGATTTGAAAGATGCTCCACATCCAACGTGGGGCTGGAACTTGCCTCCCCCAGATCAAGAGCCGCGCGCTCGACTGACTGACCGACCGGCCCGGCGCCCCAGGGCTGGCGAGCTGTATCGGGGCAACCTTCTACACCTTCCTGAACCTGAAGCACCCTGGGAGGAGCGGGAGCCGGGTGTGCGCATCAGGGCACTGGGAAGGCGCCCCATGTCTCATGCAGGTCTGCTCTGTCTTCTGAAACCTGAGGAGTTGGCGGAACAGGTCGCTCTGGGCTTGGGACTCTTCTAGAAAACCCAGAAGTCACATGGGCCATGACTCAGCATGAAGTCAGGCTCCTTATAGGACAGACTCCTTGGCTGGGCAAAATCCTCTTTCTGGAGGAGCCTTAACTTTCCACAGGTGACCCTAGGCTGCCCCTGCCTTTTCCTGTGAGACTAACTGTTCCTAAGAACTCTGGGAAGATGCTTATGAATGTGACCCCCAGAGGAGTTGAGGAAATATGGCAAATTTGATTACATCTGGGGCATGGAAAGCCCCTTGACCAGAGCAGCGGTTACCCATGGAGAACATTCTGGAAGAGCTGGCTTAGCCACAGCCCACATGGAGCCCAAACATCAACACCAGCTCTGCTGCCGTTCAGCTCCAGGCAGAGCTGGCAGACCACGGCCTACGGGTGCTGACCCAGCAGACAAGTCAAAGGCAGACCCCGGACCAGCGGGCCATCCCCACACTCTGCGCACAGACAGGCTTGCGAGGAGGGCCAGATAGGGGCTGTGGGGTGACAGTGTGACAGGAACCGGGATGCCGTGATGGCTCAGTTGGTGTGTGACTCTTGATCTCGGGGTTGGGGTTCAAGCCCTACAATGGGTGTAAAGCTCACTTAAAAATAAAATCTGGGGGGGTAAAAAAAGAATCTGACAGGAACCAAATCAGCCTCCATTCAGCTTCCCCAGGGCCTTGGTATGGCCACCAGGCAGAGCTGCCTAGACTGAGAAAGTAGGAAGAAAGGAGACCCAGGCCCCAAGGGTCTAGCTGGCACAGGGGACGCTGGCACAGGGAACACGCAGACAAATAGTGAAAAGACGTGGGAGTTCGTGGACGTCCAGATGTCCGCCTGGAGGAAAGAAGCCCATACGTCTCAAAGCCACCAAGCTCTGAGTGCAGAACACGGGGACAACAGACAGGCAGCAGGCAGCACAGACTGCTTCCGAGAAGTGACCCAGCAGCTCACAGGAGCCAAGGTCCGTGCCTGGCGCCTGCCCTCCCCTCCACCCCGGGCTCTGGCCCAAGCCACCTTCTTGAATGTTCACAGCTCGGAGACTCATTCCCACGTTCAACGGACTCCCATCCCTCTTTCAAATCACCGTGGAAGAGAGGCATGCTGGCCCAGGCACAGCACACGGAGCGTGGCGCACCGAGCGCCCGGGAACTCAAGCATCCCTTCCAAACACACGTACTGAGGACCTGCTCCTTCCTGCTCCCGGGCATGAAGCGTCCAGTAAATCCCCAGAGGCCCTGACCATGGACCTGACCATGGAGCTTCCTTTCTAACGGGAGACCAAAAAGAAACACACCAACACTAATGTCCTGTCATGTAGTGAAGAGGGAGCAGGAGGGAAACAAACGTGCCTCAATCTAGAACAATCCGGGGAACCAGGACCGAGGCCCGTGATGGAGAGCTGATGGGCCTGCTCTCCGGCCCACCTGGCTTCAGGGCCCAGCCCGAAGCCGCCCACTCTGCCTGGGAAACCTTTCATGACCCACCAAACTGGAGACCACTTCCTCCTGCTGGTATCCTCTGCCACATCTTCTGTCCCCTTCTCAGGTCGCTGTGCACGTGGGCGCTGACCGCGCTGGGGACAGAGACAGGGCCCAGCCCTCTGGTGAAGAGAATGGTGCCAGGAAGCCCACTGAAGGTGTCTGGTGTGTGTCTGGGCAAACCACACAAGGAGCCCGCAGTTGAGCAAGGCCTCTCCAAGAAGGCGGTGTCAGCACTGAGACGTCTGGGGAGCCCTGGGACCATGGGGAAGGTGCTCTAGAATGGGGAAGCAGCCAGAGCAAGGGCTCTGAGGAGGAAAAAGCTTGCACGTCTGAGGAAGAGAAAGAAGGCCACCGTGGTGACAAACAGGTGTGGCTCCAGTGTGGTAAGTGGGAGGGGTGGCAGAGGGGGTCGGGAGCTGGCCCCACAGGGCCTCACAGCTGAGGTGAGATGTCTGGGCTCTACTTACTGTGAAAGAGGAAGCTGCGGAGCGTAAGCACAGATGTAGCGCGATCTAGGTACCTGCTCGGCTCATGAGTGGGGGCCCGCCGCACATTATCTGCTGAGGTGCTTAATGGCCGTGACAGAGAGATCAAAAGCCGGGGGCTCGCGCCACTGGGTGTAGACCTGGAGTGCTGCCAGACGGGTCGGCTCGGACGGGGGTGGTGGGCAGAGGCTCAGCACCCTCGGGGGCACAGAGCGAAGCTGGGGTGGGTGAGTTTCAGACCAGGCTGGGAGCAGACAACTCTGAGAAGCCGAGGAAGAGCCAGAAACATGTGAGGCCTGAGCTGCCAGCGGGACTGTGGGACATCACCCCCAGAGCAGTGGCGGTCCCTGAGAATGAAGAGGTCGGAAGGAAGGCAGCAGGGGGCCCAGGAGTCTCGCAGGTACGTCAGGAAGGGCCAGGCCAGCTACTCAGGAGCACATGAAACAGCAACACCCCAGCCAAGCAGGACCGGAGGGGGCCGACACGCTGCCGGCGCAAAGGCACGAGGCCGCGGGTGGGTGTGAAACGGGGCGCGCCGCGCGTGAGCCCGTCAGCACGGTTTGGAGTAACAGCAGAGGTGTGACGGCCCTCGGAGAGCAGGAGACAGGTAGGGTCGGGGGTGGACATTTAGGGACTCCTGGTAAAGTAAGCACCTGAAGCGTGGGTGACCCTCCTAAAGCATTATGAGACGGAGAAGGCAGAGAAATCCCACTGCTCCCAGACGCACTCCCTAGCTACGTGCATGTGTTCCGGACAGAGGAGCCGCTTGGCTCCCCAGCAACACAGCACCCAAGTCCCATCAGGGTCAGCGGTGTCGCAGGCAGAGAGGCGTTTGCACACCCCCGCAGCAGGTGCTCTGAAGCTCTTCCCCAAAAGGCCCCGTGCAGGACGGCACAGGATATGAAGGCGGCAGGGAAAGCCTCCAGCCGTGAGCACCAGGGCGTGGCGACCAGCCGGGCGCAGCACACAGTCAGCCCGAGTGGGGCCTGCCCCTGCCCCGGGAAGAGGCTCCTCACAGCGGGTCACCTTGTTCACCAAACTCAGCGTGTTTCTTGGGGCTGCAAGTGCTCAGAACTGGTCAGTGCAAACAACTGAGGCAAGCGGGAGAGTGACCGGCCGCTGACCCTGCGCGGGGGCTGCCCAGGGCCATCCAAGGGACTTCCCACTCGCTTCCAGAGTTAGAAAGCCCCATCCGGGCCCGACGGCAGAGTGGAGGGTGTCCCGGGCAGGTGCAGGGATGATGGGGGCTTCCTCCACAGGCAGCCAGCACCGCTGTGTCACTGGTGTCCGCGCGGCTCGCACAGGAAAGGGAATACTTGGAAAGAATCCACTTTCCCAGAAAACCAGAGACCCAAACCCAGACCTCCTGGCCGTGGGGCAAGGCGCCCGTTGCCGGGCGGGGTCCGGGGCGCCCGCTCAGAAGCCCCTCCCTGAACGCGGCGCTAGGAAGACCCCGGGCCCGGTTCGCGCTCCGTCGGGGAGGGCCGCGGGGAGCCCCGGTGCGCGGGGAAGTCCCGGGGCTGGGAAGGAGAAGCTGGCGGAGCCACCGAGTCCCCCCGGCCGCACAATCCGACACGGAGACCGGCCGAGGAGCGGAGCCGCGGCGGGGGACGGCGGCGGGGCCAGCAGCTCGCGGGGCGCCGCGGTGGGGGGAGCGGGGAGCCCCCGGGACCCCTCCCGCCCTGGCCCAACCCCCCTCCCGCCCGGCCCCAACGGCCCGGCGCCCACCAGTCAGTCGGGGACTTCTCGGTGACCACCCGCACGTAGGCCTCCTGCAGCGCAGGCCCGTTCCGGCTCAGGTTCGCAGCCATGACCGGCCCCGCAGTTCCCGCTCCGCCGCCGCCGCCGCCGCCGCCGCCGCCGCCGCTTCCGGGCCCCGCCCACCCTGCGACCGGAAGCTCCGCCCCTGCGGCCGGAAGCGGAAGCGCGGCCGGCCGGACGGCGGGGAGAGGGTGCGGCCGGCGGGGAGTGGGCGGGGCCGTCGCGTCTGGAGGAGCCGGGGCGCGGAGTGGCGGGCGGAGCCGGAACCGGGCGCTGGGAGCTGCGCTCACGGAGGAGCGCGCGTTTCTCTCTTCTCTCGCCGCAGTCAGCGCACTGGTTCGAGCGTCTCGGGCTCGTGACAGCCTCTGCGCGGACCTTCCACACGCGCCTGAGAGGCGACCGGAGCCTGCACCGGCGAACACGAGCGCTGCGTGCGGGCCGCGCCCGCCCGGGCCGAGGTGCTGCGGAGCCTCCTCTCCCGCACCTGCGTTCCCCGCTCTGTTCGTGGAGGACCGGGTGGCGCGGGGAGCCTCGCTCCCTGCCCTGCACGCACGTCCCAGCACAGGTGCATGAGTCCCTGGGATGTCAGAGAGGCGGCCCCGTGCTGACCCTGTGCGCTCGGGGAGCCCTCCCTCAGGAACCCATCCCGCAGGGGCCGGTCTCGCAGGGTCCATCCCGCAGGGGCCCATCCTGCAGTCCGGCGCGCCCACGTTTCTGCAGCGACGTCAGTGAGAAATCACCAGGGCGGGCTATGGAAAGACCACACGGCCTCGGGGCAGGCGGTCAGGTCTTCCCGCCAGATGGGAGTGTTGGGTCTGATTGTGCAGATACAGGCTTGTCGGCTCCGTCTGGGCACAGACGTGGCTTACAGGTTAAGTGCACAGAAGTGCACTTCTGTGTGTTATTGCTGTAGGTCTCCCGCAGAAGCCCCGACATTCTCTGGCCAGAGCAGCCACCTCCCCCGAACCCGGGAAGTCTAGGGCCTGAACAAACCACTCCTTCCCTTCAGCAGCTTCCGCCTGCGGCCCGGCTTCGTGCAAGGTGCAGGTCTGTTCTCCGCTCTGTTTGCATCAGAAAAGTGAGCTCTAGCAACTGCAGGCCTCCTCCGAGCTCTCCCAATCTCTTATCTTTTATTTTCTAATTTAAATTCGCTTAGCCAACATACAGTAGTATGTCATCAGTTTCGGAAGCAGCACTCGATGATCCATCGCTCGGCACACAACACCAGGGCCCACATCAGGTGCCCTCCTTAACACTCACCATGCCCTCTTTTTTTCTTCAGTGACTTCTCCTCTGTCCTTGTTTTCCCTCAGACACCGTCAGGCGACTATCCTCTCCAGAGTCAGGGAGATTCAGCCCGCCCTCTTACTGTTCTTCAGCCTTCTTTTTGGCCGCAGTGCATCTGTGTTTTTTATCTTTCTCTGGCAATGTCTTCTCTTTGAACACCTCCTGGTCCCCAGTTTCTTCCTTGACCTGGCTGCCACGCCCAGCCTCTGGTCCCTGGACCCCGAGGAGGTCTGGGAGCACTTTTCCACATTTCAGTCAACTTGGGGGAGAACTCACCTTACCTGAATTGGGCTATGCTGCTCTTTCTGTTCTGGAAAAAGATCAACTCGGTGTGGTAGCCAGGTGCATCACACGGATGAGGGAAAGCAGGGAGATCTGGGCTCCATCGAGAGAAGGCTCTTAAGTGGGGGTCCCTGGTGTGGGAAGGTGGGGAGCAGGATTCTGCTTTCTGTTCTAGGGTGTGGGAGTCTGTTTCCACTTGACAGGCTGGGAAAGGCATCTCCGCAGAGGTAACACTGGAGCAGAGACTGGATGTGGGGTGGGGAGCAGAGCTGTGGAAGGTCTGGGCAGACGTCCTCTGGGCGGAGGGAACAAGAGGTGTTGGGGCTCTGAAGTGGGGGAGGCAGTCTAGTGAGGGACTGACGATTGAGCACAAGGAGAAGGAGAGGGAGGGGAGCTGGGTCCTGGAGGACCCTGTAGGTCAGGGAAGGACTTCACACTTTGTTCTAGGTGTAGTCAAATCCCTGAGGGGCTTTAACCAGAGCAGTATGATCTGCTAATGTTTTAAAACGGTCCCGCTGGTTGCTCTCCAGATGCCTCCATGCCTGTTCCTCCAGCCTCGGCTTGTCTGCGTTCCTGTTTCCTCAAAGCCATCACCCTTTTTGGTCAGCTGCTCCACCGCCTAAAAGCATGAGATGTGGGGCACTTGGGTGGCTCAGTGGGTTAAAGCCTCTGCCTTTGGCTCAGGTCATGATCTCAGGGTCCTGGGATCGAGCCCCACATCGGGCTCTCTGCTCGGCGGGGCGCCTGCTTCCTCCTCTCTCTCTGCCTGCCTCTCTGCCTACTTGTGATCTCTCTCTCTGTCAAATAAATAAATAAAATCTTTAAAAATAAATAAATTAAAGCCTGAGATGTCCCCAGAGGTGACACTAGAACTCCGCTGTCTTCTTCTTAACTGACTGACTTCTGTGGCCTTCTTGCAGGAGGGTAAGCACAGAGCTGCTTTTCTCCTGGTGGGTTCAGATGACAGCTCTAGGGCACAAAACCAGAGCCAGAGCCAATGTCCTCCACCCCTGAGGGCAGCTGACCCTGTGCTAAAGGCACCCAAGCCCAAGTATGGGGGGAGGAGCTTGCCAGCTGACTCCCTCTGGCGCTGCCATGCAGGAAGAACTAACAGCATTGAGAAAAATGCCATGACTGCTCAGTTGTGCAAAGGAAGGAAGTCCTGCCATTTGCAACCACACAGATAGACCTGGAGGGTGCAGGGGTGAGAGGCTGGCTCTGAGGGGGCAGCCCTATCATTCCCCTCCTGAAGCAGAGCCTGGTCTAGCCCCCCGTGTCTGAAAGCAGCTGGGTGGTGGATAGCCTGTGGGCCTCTCTGAAAGGCATCGAGTGGGGGTCTGGGAGAAGTGGGGAGGGCGGGGAAGGAAGGAGACATTTTTCAGGGAGCTCAAGAAGTTGCTCACTGGTCTGATAGGGTTTTTACAGATTCTCTATAGCCATTTGATTTTTGTTACTCATCAAATCTGCCAGCAGGGAGAAGCTGGTGTCATGGGCATGATGAGGCTGGCAGAACGGCCAGGGAGAGTGTTAGCTACTTCCTCCCCTCAGCAGCAGACAGCACCACATGGTACTGGGCCACCTTTGTGGGAATGGCAGCCACAGCCTCCATGGTTCAGAGGACCAGCCCTCACCCAGCGCTGCTGGGGAGGAAGAGTGTGTCACAGTGAGAAGGGCCAGCGGTGGAGCAGCGGCACAGGAAGGGGTGGGGGTGAGGGCCATATTGACCTTGAGGCCCTCTCTCAGCACCAGGGACAGACCTCAGGCCCAGAGATCTGCAGAGGAGTCCCCAGGCACCACTGTGGTCCTTAAAGAGGCTTGCTCCTGGATTGCAGAGACAGAAACCTGCCTGTCCTTGAGCATTTGCAGGGCGGTATGTGGAATCCCACGGCAGGGACATAACACTCAGTAATGAGCTGCTAGGACTGCCGGATGTCTGCATCCCAGCATTTTAATCCCTTGTCAGGAGATTTTGACCCTGTGCCATATTCCTGGAACTCCTGGGTCTTCCTGGAGCCTGACAAAGGACCAAGATCTCAGCACCATCCAGCAAACCCAGACGTCTACGGTCAGAGTTAATAGTCATCTGTCCGTGGTGGATCAGTTGCTTAAGGTCACACATCTTCCCAAGCTCTCCGGTCCACAGAGAAGAATAACACATCACCCCTGCAGTTGGGTTTTTGGATCTGCTCTCCACTTGCTGACCTGGGACTTGCCTTGGAACACGACATCTGAACACAAGTGATACAGGAGTGGCTGGCACCCAGGTGCATCTTGAAAGAAGGTTCTGACCTAAGTTCTGTTTTGGGGGCTGACCTGCACCCTGGAAGGCATGTGAGTTCCCTGAGGGAGAGAGTCCGGAGGATGTGCAGACAGGCCTGCACATGGAGCCTGCACGTGGAGTAGCACTGGGGGGACCTGTCCGAGGGGTGTGGCAGGTAGAGTGGAACTCAGGCTTGCACAGGGTGAGTGATAACGCACAGTGTAGACCCTAAGGGCTGGGTTCGCTCTCTCTGCTCCATCTCTCCAGCACGAGCACAGGCTTGGGGAAATTCTCTCTGGACTCGGGAAGGTCACCAGCTTTCCGGGTCTCAAAGGCCCTCCTGATCCCACCTAACGTCTCTGGGTGTGCTGACCATGCGAGTTACCCCCACCTCTCCAGCTGTCCTGTGCTTCTCCCACGCCTCCCCGCAAATATAGTTGGTCATGGTGAGTATTTGCACCACAGAAACTAGCAAGCATGAAAATCAGGGCCGCATCTCACCCCTGAGGCTGGTTTTCAGACACCCACCACGACACCACCATTGGTTCTCAGTATCCCCGTGTGTCTACATGGATCACACGTGGTCAGCACTCAGGAAGCAGAGCAGTGGTCACAGCAGCGGTGAATTTGGGGAACTAAGATCATGTGAAGGTACTGGGGGACACACTCACTGGGGCAGTGAGTTTCCAGACACTTCCGCAGAGCAGTTTCTTTCCTGCTCACTTGGGCTCCCAGGGCCGGACTTGTGTCCTCTGCAATGCTGCATGAATGAGTGAGCTCCTTGGTGCAAGGTCTGTTGGGGCAAGTCCTGGAGAGGGAGTGGGAACCATGGGGGAAAGAGAAGCTGGTCGTACTGCGGGTTTCCTGATGCCCGCGGCTCACCGGGCTTCTCCCCAGCTCCGGTGGTTTCCTGCCCCGAGAACGCGCGTCTCTCTTCAGGGCGGGCGGTGGTGAATGGACACTAAGAAGGGACATTCCCTGAGAGGCCAGAAGTGGTCTCTGCCGGGACACTCCAACAA